CAGTGGCCTCTTGCTGCTGCCGTGTATTTGTCATCAGATGTAGGTTTCATGCAGACGTGCTCTTGCTGTCCCCACAGATCAACACAGCAAAAAGGCTCTTGGAGAAGGGGAAGGAGGCACCCAACCAAGAGCCTGAAAGGAGTTGGTTCCAGACCAAAGAAGAGAAGAAGAAGGAAAAAAGTATGTTGGGAACTGCCTCGGAAAAACTGACTTTAGAATTAACACCTGGCCCAGCAGCGCCACTCGCAGGCCCATGCCCAAGAGGCTGAAGAGGAGGACTCAAGCCAATACTTACATGTGGGGGTTCACTGAAGTTAACCAGCCAGAAGTGGAAATAGCCCGTGTCCACCAACGGGTACACAGATATCCATGTGTGCACATAACATGAAATTGGGTTCAGCCACAGTGTAGTTCTGACCCATGCTGTGAGAATGAACCTTAACATGCTAAGCGAACTAATCCAGACACCAAAGGACAGATAGTTATGATTCCATTTATGTGAGGTGTACAGATAGACAGATTCATAGGCAAGTAAAGTAGGACAGAAGTTATTGGGAGGAGGGAGTTACTACTTAAATGGTTATAGAGTTTTTTGTTTTTTTTTAAAGATTATATATTTATGTATGTAAGAGCTGGAGTGTAGGCCAGAGGTGCAGGCATGGTGAGAGGACTCACCAGAGACAGTGGAGAGCAGAACGGTGGATGGACTAAAATCCACTGCTGAGGGGAGCAGCAGGCGGGTCAGGAGAGGTCTGCTACGCTGTATGGATCACCTCCCTGGCCGGGGATCGAACTCATGCCGCAGTAGCTGCAATAGCTTCATAGTGTTGTGGTTTAACTCTCTGTGACACTAGGGAGGGCCCTGGTTATAGAATTTCTGTTTGGGAAGATGAGAAAGTTTTGGAGACAGGTAACAGTGACAGTTTAGTAACAGAACATATATATGATTGTGAATGTAATTAATGCTACTGAGTTGTACTCTTAGAATTGATAAAGTGGTTACTGTTATGTCACATGTATTTGTCACTGAAAAACTCAGGAAGATATTTCTATAGATACCCAGTTAACAAAAATGATCTCCCATTGTTCTATGCCTTGCTTTTTTCAGTTAATTTTCTCCCTTAGATGATCCTTTCAAATCTGCACAGCAGCACCCACCCATGTGTGTATGCGCATGTATACATACTTACACACATGAACATTCACATACATAGATATCTGTTTATTTTTCCTTTAAATGACTACATGGTTTTCCATCATATGGGTAGGTTATTGTCTAATTATTTCCTCATTGAGGGCCTTTGAGTTTGTTTCCAATGTCTTGCTTCTATAAACAAGTGATAGCATGAATATAACTATGGATGCCTCTCACTAAGCAAGTGTATCTCATTCACAGGCTAAGTCCCTAAAAGTGAAATTGTAGACCCTGTGTAGGGTGTCTGTATTTATTGTTTGTTAGGAACTGAACAATGAACCTCCAAAGGGGTTGTACCAGTGATTTAGAGAATACTGCCTATTTTGACAGGACAAAAAATAAGGATATATGTAAAAATTTTTGTTAAGAATAAAGAGTGTGAGGGTCCCTGGTAGCACATGGGGTTAAAGCACAGCACTCTGGAGCTAGCTGCAGTCACTTCAGCACTAGTTCAATCCCCAGCCAGGGAGATGACCCACATGATGCAGCAGACCTCTCCTGTCTCACCTGCTGCTCCTCCCTCAGCAGTGTACTTTGTCAGTCTGCCTGTTCTGCTCTCTACTCTGCCTCTGGTGAGTCCTCTCACCCTCCTGTACCTCTGGCCTCTACCTTAGTCCTGTATGCATAAATAAATAAACCTTTAAAAAAATAGAACTCTATTGTGGGAAGTTGGGAGTATGTAAGTGAACTAAATCACCTTTCAAAAGGGCAGTTGATAGATAATGCTTCAAGTGGGTTCTTTGAGAAATACAGTCGTAAGCATGTTTAGTGAGATGGAAGTAAACATCAGAAGAGGAAGTGATTACTGTTTCCCATTTCAAATATGTGGGCTTGTTAAGTTTAAAAGATATAAAATAGTACCTGAAATCTCATGTTCACTTCTCCACTCAGTTGCCAAGGCTCTGCAGGAGTTTGACTTGGCCTTAAGAGGAAAGAAGAAAAGGAAGAAGTTTATGAAGGATGCCAAGAAAAAAGGGGAGATGACAGTGAGTAGTCTCCCCTTTGGAGCTAGTTCCTGCTCAGTGTCATGGGGCAGGGCTGCCTGGTTTGTGTCCTACTGACAAGTTATCCTTCTTCCTAGGCAGAGGAAAGGTCCCAGTTCGAAATTCTCAAGGCTCAGATGTTTGCTGAGCGTCTGGCCAAGAGGAATCGTAGAACCAAGCGGGCCCGAGCCATGCCTGAGGAGGAGCCAGCAAGAGGCCCTGGTAGGCACCTGGGACCCTGCAGGAGCTGTTGCAGGGCTCCTGAGACTCAAGCTGATGTTTGGGGGGTGGGGGGAGTTGGGAGGGATGATTTAAGAGCCCATGTTTTTTGAGTATATACCAGTGTGTGCAACTGTCTTTTACTGGCTACACGTGAGCCTGTGGATAGTTGGGAGAGCCCTACTGACTGGAGCCTTAAGTCCTTGCAAATGCTGTTTGGAGCCAGGACTCTTGGTAGAATGAAGTGGAGACTTTCTGTGGCCCATTTCCCATGTAATGGCCATTCACCTCTGGACTGCAGCCAAACTCTGAAGTAGTTCTCCGTGCCTAGTAGTTCTGATTCCTTACCCCTCTCTGCTGCAATCTGATGTCTTCCCTCATGTCAGTAAGCCATCAGGCTAGAGCATCCCCTGAATTGAGAACGATAACCCTGAGTTGAAGAGGACTTGGGAGTTTGGGCCAAAGAGGGCCACATCTAAACTATTCTCTCTTTGCACAGCCAAGAAGCAAAAGCAAGCAAAGAAATCTGTATTTGATGAAGAACTTACCAATACGAGCAAGAAGGCCCTGAAACAGTATCGAGCTGGGTAGGGTTTTAAGTCATCATGAAATTCCTTGTATTTGATAAAAGTTAGGGATCTTCTCCATCCATTCCTATTCTCAATTCTCATATCGTCATAACTTTATAATACATAGTTTCAAGGGCTCCTGTTTCCCTCCCCACCCCACTTCTCCTCCCAGGCCACATGGATATATATACGTAGGAAGAGAACAGAAAGTGTTAAGACCTTCCTGCTCTGGAGGAAATAGGGCCCATTTTAGCTTCAAAAGATCATCTCTTAGGTAGTGATCCAACCCAATCTGGGTTTGTTCTTGGGAATGTGGTGGTCTCTTTCACATCCCCTGGGCAAGGGTTAGGTAGGGATAGACTAAGCTTCTAAGGTAGTTTTTTCATATACACTAGGAGGAAAGGCCTCTGCTTTTGTTTCAAACCTGGACCCTGACTTCTAGAAAGCCATGTTATCAGTGGAAACACACACTCTCTCTTGGGCTCTGAAAGTGATGCATTTGCTGCTGCTTTGGGTGGGGTTTGGGATGAGACGTTGCCCGTTTGTCTAACTGTGATCATTTCAGCCTGTCATCTTCTCTCACCCATAGCCCATCCTTTGAAGAAAGGAAACAGTTGGGCTTGCCCCACCAGAGACGAGGAGGAAACTTTAAATCTAAATCCAGGTAATGTTTGCATGCAGTTCTAGAAGGCCAGAGGCGGTGAACCTTTGGGGTTGGATAGAGACCCTTTATGAGAAAGGAGCTTCTCCTTCCTTTCTGGGCTTGATTCGGATTCTCTTAACAGGTACAAGAGGAGGAAGTAGCTGTGGTGGCCTGAAGAAGTTCGTGGGGCAACCCTTAGATTCCTTCCCTGTGGGAAGTCATCTTGGTTTGATCTTTTCTGCATTTGTAAACATATTCTTTAAAATTTTAAGAGATGTCTGTGTCATTTGTGCTTTAAAAAAAAAGTAAAGCTGGGGTGTGTGTTCTGTAGCTGGTCAGTCATCAAGGTTTCACATAAAGATTATGGCAAATGGAAGAAGTGCTTTTGGGGAGGGGGGCACATTCCATCTCACTGCAAGCTTTATCATACCTTCTCTCATCTCTTCCTGTGGTGGCTCAGGCCGCCGGTCTGCTGGTCTGGTACTGCCACAGGGACATGGGAAGCGGTTTAAGCCCATAGGGGAGCAGAGTCTGCAGTGAGAAGATTCTTGCCAGAAGTTCTCTCCTGTTGACTTCCCGAAATAAAGGCTGTCATGTACTGAGCACTGCCTGTTCTGTGCACTGGGCACCATCTCACTCACCTTGCATATCTAGGCAGGTAGTTACCCACGTTTTACAGATGAAGGAACAGAGGCTTGGAAAGATGGGGGTCACTCTCCAGGCTTTACAGTTGGGGCTTCAGGCTTTTGAGACCAGGTCTCCCTGAGCGCACACTCTGACTCTTCATGCTGTAAAAGTGCTACTAGAGAGGTGAAAGCTTAGAGGGGATACAAGCGACACTGATAGCATAAAATCAGCACCTTGATGAGACCGTTCACCCTGTACAACGACTGTCACCCTTTTCTGAACTACAGGTCCTTTGAGAATAGAGCAATCATGTTTGCCAGATACAGTTTTAAGGAGCAGACTTCCCCGGCTACCCCCTGCTAAAACAATTCTAAGTTACTCAGTAGGACCCTTGACATTAGTGTGTGTTCAAAGCTACTCATTTAAGCTGCACTTAGCAGCTGCCACAGAGGGTTCCAGTGAGTACATACACCTGTCTGTGTCTCTGAAAGGACGATACACTGCAGACGCACAGGGTCTGTGGGTGGACTCATGAAGCTGTTCACATAGTTGCCTTTGGGGAAGGAAACTTAAAGTACCCTTTCGAACAGGTTGAACTTTTTTTTTACCATGTGTGCAGAAACGACTCGGTAGCTCAGTAAAAACCGCATTCTACAGAAACAAAACAATAGCTCCATTAAAGGCAGTGGCTCCATTTCCATCCTCACTAAAACTGCCCGAGCTGCTTCTAACAGTTGAGGACAACAGGGACCACTGATTTTGTCAATCATTGTTTTTATTAATTGGCTTTATAGGCTAAAGTGCATAGTAAAGACAAAAAAGGAAATGCATACATAGGAAAGGGACATTTTTCTTGCCAACATTAGAAAGACCTGAGATGCCTACATGTCTGTTCTGGGGAACATGTATGCAGACGGTGGACCTGGCGGCAGGCTTCTGGCGTGGGAGTGGGGCCTGCAGAAGCTGCTGGCATGCTAACCCTGCCCAGACAAAAGCTGCAGTAGCTTTTGGGACAAAGGGCCACACTTTGGGTAGGTGCTGGTACCAAATGTGAGTTTAATTTCATCCTGACCCCTAGGAACCAGCACTGCTATGGAATCTTTTCTACGGCAGGCAAAGAAATCACCATCCCCAAGTGCAAGTCAGAGGAAAGGGAACAGGGGTCACTCAGCCTGGGCCGGCCGCTGCGGGTGCCACTCGCTGACTGACCCACTCAGTGGCTATGTAACTGGGTCAGGTTAGTCAGTGAAGTCTTATCACACGCTGCCTCCGCATCCCGTAGGGTGCCCGAGAAGGCAGGCAGGAGGCCTCTTGTGCTCCTTGAGAGGATAAACAGTTTATAAGCAATTGTGGGCCTCTTGTTATTAGAATGGAAGCCTGCAAGTTACGCCCCTGCAATCAGTGTTAAGTCTGCTTCTCTGGGCTCAAACTAGCCCTAGAGCTCTGCAAAGACACAGCACCTGGCTGAGTCAGGCCCCAGAGACACTGTCAGGAAGGCCTTGGTGGAAGCCCCAAGTATGCTCCAGGCAGCTTGTCCACCAACTTGCAGGAGTTAAAAGAGGAGAAATGTGTTAGATTTGCTCTCAGTCCTGGAAGTAAAGTGCTTACTCTAGCGCAGGGGTAAACCTAGAGACAAGGTGGGCAAGCCCTAAAAGTGGATCCTTGAAGAGGTGCTAAGACTAAAGGACAATAGTATAAAACAAATTTTGGTTCCTTTCTAAGGGAGCCAACTTGGGCCATACGGTGGCTGGGAAAAAAGGCAGTGGGGCGTCATCTTCCTACATCATCCTCCGAAGCTCCTCAAAGTTCATCATGTTGTTGGCTGTGTCAGACCAGGCTGCGTGCTGGGCGCCATCCATCTCAGAAGCAAGCTGGTTGCTTGTTTCCAGAGTGTGATTTACACCGCCAATCACCTCCTTACAGTCAGGACAGGTGCTCCTCACTACGGCTCCTCCACACTGGCTGATCGCATAGATGTGGCCGTTGGGGCATTTGAACCAGTGGCCGCGAGGGTAACCCATGGCGCTGACAATCTGCACGCGCTCTTCCTCTGAGATGCCCAGGCCGGAGCAAGGAAGAATGGCTTTCAGAGCTTCCATCTTTCTTTGCACAAGCTGTTCATCCTCCTGGGTGAACTTACATGTTTTCTCGAGGATCTTCCGGACACTGTCGACTTCTTCCTGTACGCTGTCTTTCACTTTCCACTCTGCTATCCTGCAGCGGACGAGGAGGTTCACCAGGTATGTGAGCCTCTGGATTTCACTTTGGAGGTCACTCAGTTCTTGGCTGGTGAAGCTCAATCGCTTCTTGGCTAGCCATGTGTGCACCTGTTCTAGTCGCATCCTCACTCTCACTTGGTCTGAGGCGTGGGACTTCTTCAGGGAGTCCCACAGGCCAGCCAAGTGGTCACAGAAACTGATGTAATTCTCAATAAGGCCCAGTTCCTTCACGGACAGGTTTTCCAGGGTCAGCTTCTCCTCCAGCATCAGGAAGTCTTTAGGACACAGCTGATGGAGGAGGTCTTTCTTCGCCAGTAGGGCTTGGAGTTGCTCCCGGCTGGTTGCAACTTCCCTTGCTGAGCCCTGGATCTTTACTTTGACAATTTCAATCTCTTCTAGGCGCTGTTTGATGCTGGTTCCATATCTCAAGTTTTTGCGGATGGGTACCTGGCAGATAGGGCACACCTTCAACTTGATGGCAACTTCATCATCCTTTTGCTCGTTCATGTAGCGGTCCAGGGCTTGTACCTCAAAGATGTGGCTGCAGTCTTCCAGCTGCACAAAGCGGGCATCAGGCTCATCCTCAAAGCCAAAGAAGATCTGGGTGACTTCATCCTGGTGGCAGATACGGCACTTATTGGGACACGGCTCGCCACACAAACCAATGCAAGGGTGGCCACAAGCCAACAGCTTGGTACAAGGCACATAGCATGGGGGTCGGTCGCAGGGCTCAAAGCAGAGTTTGGTGCACTGATAGTGCTGGCAGCGCCAGACGCAGGGTTCGACGCAAGGGCTGCATAGCTCCCCACACTTCTTCTTGCACTGGCTGTGGACACAGCGGTTCTGACAGGTCCGCTGGCAGGGGGGGCACTCCCCGGTGCATGGCTCCTGGCACTTGTGTGAGCAGATGAGCAAGCGCTTGCAGGGCTTCTGACAGCGCTCATGGAAGCGCCCCTCGAAGCAGCTGTGGCAGGAGCCAGGACAAGGATGCCCACAGTCCAGGACGGCGTCACACTTGGTGGTGCACTTGACCGGCAGGCCGTGCTTGATGTCCTCCACATTCCCGCACTTCACCTGTTGGCTGTGCCCACACTTGAGTTTCTTGGTGACCATTACTGAACACACGCGCACACAGTCCTCGCCACACAAGTGACTGCACTTGTGCCCGCATTTCAGGACCTTTGGGCAAGGCTCTTGGCAGCAGAACTGTGACTCGGGAACGGAACAAGGAACCATCTGTTCATGGCCACACCGAAGAATGATTTTGGGCACTTTCACCTGACAAGGCTCACACTCCTGGAAGCAGAGAGCGGGACAGCGGTGTCCATCCTGGCAGATGACTTTCTGGCATGGCTTCATGCACTGGAACTCCTGGTGCAAGGAGTCATAGGGGTGGCAGGCCCGGGTGCAGACATGCCCACAGCTCAGCCGGAACTCACAGGGCAGGCTGCAGCCTCCCTCGGGTACCTTTTGGAAGTCGGAAGCTCTGGACACCAAGGTGTGGGTCTCAGGGTGGTTCTGGCAGCACAGCTGGAGCGCGTGGCCGATTTGGTTATTCTCTCGAAGGGTATGGATGACCTTGCTCCACAAGGGCACCTTGGCCAGCATCTGCATGTTCCCAATGCAGTACATCCCCTTCTTGGCACGGGACAAGGCCACGCAGATGCGATTGGCTATCTGCAGAAAGCCCACCTTGCCTTCCTGGTTGCTCCGAACCAGAGAGAGGATAATGATGTCATTCTCCTCCCCTTGGTATTTGTCCACGACGTGGACCCTGACACCAGCAAACGTCTCAGAAGGCATGAGTTTGCGCAGGCAGAAGAGCTGCCCAGTGTAGGTGGTGAGGATGGTGATCTGGGAGGGCAGGTATTCCTGACACAGGAAGTACTTGCATAGCTCGACCACGAAGTGAGCCTCATGCTGGTTCTGGTGGCTTTTGCCTTCTTGGATTTCCTGTTCAGGTAAGTTATGTTCTACAAAGAAAAGGTTGGAAGCGACACCCTGGGAAGGAAAAGAAGTGATGTTAGAAAGTTCAAAGTGGTAATTTTTTCTCTTCCTAGTTTTCACCTGTATTGGCACTGACCCTGCTCCACAGAGAACCTCAGAAGGCTTTTTGTATACTCAGTACCACAACCTTAAATTCTGGAGTCACTGTGTATTTATTTGAGCCATGATATGGACAGAGAATATGTCTATTTCAGTTTTCAAGATACTTGTATGATATTAATATTTGTAATAGCCAGTCACGATCCAACTACATTATGGTCCTCTGGCTAAGTGGTGGTTATGATGGGGGAGATGACACCAGCAGCTAGCTCATGTGTGTTCCATAGTGCAACTGTTGTACACCCTGGTCTCCTTCAATACCGTAACATAGAGAGGCAGCAACCATTATTCTCACTGAACACAAAACCCTGACATAACCTGTATAACTTATGCCAGTTAGACCGGAGCTAAGTGGCAGAGCCAGGAGTCAAAAACTAGCTCTATTTTTTCAAGTACTATTTCTCCTCTTAATAACCAGTTTTTAAAAACACTGGCTCTACTTTCTTCTGAAAACATGTTTTCAACTTGAGCCTCCTAGGTTGCTGACAGCCTCAGAGAGAAAGATCAGGCCAGGCGTGCTCACCTTAATTGTCTCATATTTGAGAACAGAGGGATGATTCTCCAGACCCTGGTAAATATGGGGGACCAACAGCCGGGCAATTTCAGGGCGCATGCGGTGCTAAAACAAGATATATGTCATTAGAAATACGGATGGAGAATAAGTGGAGTTTTCTAGAGACTAGGTTCCTGGTGGAAAAGGTGGGGCGATAACATTTGGAAAGAGTAACCCAGGGAGGATGAGCAGACTATAAACAGCTCCCTCATCTAACACACACAACACAGGTCAAGCTTGTGTTTTAAAACAGAAAATGAAATACGTCTGACATTATCATTTCACTGCCAAGTCAGTTTTACTTTTATGAGATCTCGCTTGCTGGCAGTTGACAGGCTCCCAGGAGTCTTCTCTGAACATTTAATACCAGAGCCCAACTTCTCACCTGGTAATTCAGACGGACAAAGGGGATGTTTACTTTCACCAGCCGTTCAAAGAGGGACACTTCAAGGTTGAAGTTCTTAGCCAGATCATACACGTTGGCACTGGGGCACAGCTGAGAGAAGAGACATGGCTGAGGATTCTCTGCCGAGAACATGGTTTAACTGTTCGCCCAACTTATCCACCCTTTTATCTGCCGGGCGCTGCTGACAGGCTAAGGACAGAGAGACTGCCATGGAGGTGCGAAGCAGGGTGATGTGACAGTGCCGGGGGTAAGGGCCCTCCAGACAGGTGTTTCCCAACAGTGACAGCACAGAGGAAGTTGATGCTGGCATGGAGGAAGTTGCCATGCCAATTATTTGAAAAGCCAAGAGATAAGAGCAGGAAGGACAGGAAGTGGGGACGCAGTGACTAGTGAGATGGTGAAATGCGACGAATGCTGGCCTGTGTAGATCGCGTTAGGAAGCTTAATTTTCATGAGTGCAATAGGAAAGCCACTGCCGGGTTTTCAAGCCGGGGTGCATCATCAATCTTATTTACCTGTTTAAAAAAATTCCACTTTGGCTTTTTCATACAGAATGGATTTCAGGGTGGCAAAATGGAAGCAGGGGCACAGAGAGTAATCTGTTACAGTGTTCACTTAAAAGGCTACGGTGAAGTAGGAAAGTAGTGGGGGAACAGAGGACATGGGTGGTGCTCCCTTAAAATCTACCCCAAAACCTAAGCGCTCCTGCTCTTACACTGAACAGAAGAGGTGAGGGAAAGAGGAATCACAGAAAGTCACTCGTGGGAGAGAGGCTCAGGTGTTCCTGTGTGAGCCAACCCAACTGCCATGGGCCCCTCCCTACCTGCTGGTGGTCCCCAATGAGAATGAGGTGCTGGCAGGCTTTGCTCAGTGTGGCAATGGTGTGAGCCTCAAGGACTTCGGCAGCCTCCTCCACGATGACGATCCGAGGTGCCACCTCCTGCAGGATTTGGCGGTATTTGGCAGCACCTTCAGTCGAGAGAGAAGACAACCTCCTCTGAGCTGATACACTGGGCCCGACGGGCCGCTGGGTTTCTGGACTGGGTCTGTAAGAACTGTGTTGACCACTGAGTGAGAGACTCAGTAGGCTGGGTGATTTCCGGATCATTCTATCCATGGTCATCGCTGGGAGCAGTGACCTTCACCAGCAGTTCCCTAAAGGTAGTCTGCTTTCATGTATGCTTTCAGTGGCTTTTTGTGGTATTTTCCTCTAAGCTACAAAAGCAGTTACACTTGCCCTAGACAATGATTGCTCAGCACCTGGAGTGCGCAGCTGGAACAGTAAATGTCCCGTCGTTTCCTTACCTGTGGTTGTCATCCCGATGACCACGGCACCTTTCAGGATGTGAAGGTCTTCGTGGCGTCTCACTTCAGCCATTTTCTCTGCTGATGTGTGGTACTGGCGCTCAGAGTTGAGGATTTTCCGGCGGGTATCGGCTTGGTAGCTCTGCAGCCACAGTCTGAAGAGTGAGAGACCAGGAGGAAGCTACATGCTCTTTGAGAAGGTAGAGGAGCCCCTGCCATGTGCCCTGCAGTGTGGGTGTGCAGTGAAACTGAGATCCTGGAGGGGCTTATAGATCACACACAGGGTGCGGAGACCCAAAAATATAGGGACCCAAGAGTCCAAAAAGATGTGCAGCGAGATATATGTAAGTGGTTAGGACCAAAGAACAGAAGTTAGTAACTGAGAGGCGAGGAAGGGACCGCAAAAGCTTCACAAATTCCCAAGTTCTCCTGGCCCTGCCCCTGCTGAGTCTCCTCCCTAGCCCCCTGCTCTCTTAAGGGCGCGGGTCTTACATTAGCTACTGTGCTGCAAAGCCTTCCGATGACCTGGATTTTATCAAGAGTACTGAGTCGCCATCGGAGGCTTACAATTCTCGGTGGGCCTGTGTGTCCGGGCCCAGCCTATCTCTCTGACCTTCCTTCCCACCTCTCTGAGTCGTGGCCAAGAGAGCAATCTTCCTTCAATTTCTCAGTGACAGTCCCCGCCCCTTTTACCTTTATAGTCCAAAACCTCATCTGTTCCCCTTCCTGAGTTAATACCTGCTCATCTTTCAGATCTTGCCTCCAGTGACACTTTCCTGGGTACCTCGAGCTAGTTTATAGCGCTTGCCTTCTATAATATTCTTAGCACTTGCTGCTTTTTTATTTCTTAGTGTTTTCACCCATTTGTAAACTTTATTTCTGAAATGAACTCATTTACCTGCCTGGACAGACATTAAGTTCCACTGGGCAGTGCATAGTCTATTCTATGCCACGGCTGCATCCAGCTCGCAGCTCAGTGGATGTCCCAATAAATCACCCGTTAATACTGCTGAAGGTCTGGGAGCGAGGTATGTTTTAGAACCCCATGGGGAAATTACATGGGCTGGGTAGAGAAGGGGGATGGGTATAGTACCTATAAAGTTGCCAGCGAGATTTCAGGTCTAGCTGCCAAACGTCTTGGATTTCATTGGCCTCAGCCTCAGACATCGTGTCCAGTTTGTGAAGTTCAGCCTTCACTTTCCTCTTCATTTTCCTTTTCTGCTTGCGCTGGGTCTGTAGACATAAATACCAGCCAGGGTCAGTCACTGTCTGAGCAGAGGTAGGTGCAGTTCTAAGCCCAAGATAGGGACCAGAGAACACAAGAGAAGCGGTTACCACCTCTAATGAACATCTTTGAGTACCTCATACTGTCCTGAAAGATATTCCATAACCCAGTGGCTAAATCAGAGTTCTGCACCCAGCTTGCCAGGTATAAATTGTGGGACCCAGAGTAAGTTTCTCAGCCTCTCTATATTCCTCAGAATCCCTTTCCAGAGCATGAAAATATTAACAGTACCTCTTTATAGGGCTGCTGTATTGACTGAGGAGTAAATCCAGAGAAAGTGCTTAGAATAATCTGGGAGTGAGAAATGTTATCCCTAGACATCTTTTGACCACAGTCTCTCGTTCCTAAAACACGCATCTCTTGAAAAGCAGTAGGTAAGTCTCTCCTGTTGAATCTCATATAGGACCGGATAACATTCTTAATGCCATTATACTGAGCTAGTACTCTTAACAAGTGCTGAAAGGTACTATTTAAGAGAGTGCTGTCCCCTACTCTGTCAGTGAGTCTGAGGCCATGCGACTTTAGAACACTGGCAATCGTGAGACAAATGTCACAATATTATGAACCTCTCCCCATTTCAAAACTGAACAAATTAATTCTTTCTGAAGCCATGTAGTAGAGAAGCCCAATCCAAATATTGGCTGATTACGACCCAGCCAATCACATAGAGTGTGAACTAGCAGGTGAGGTTCAAAGTCAGCAGACTGGTGAAAACTGTATCCAGTCTAAGTTGCCTTTCAAAGCCCCTTTGATCACTAGTGGGGTTCAGACACAGTTATTCTGCGTATTCAATCTTCCACAGTCATCGTGATGCGTAGTACATTTTGAGGACCACGATGTACCTCCGAAGGAAGGAGCAGATGGTTAAGTGCATACGCAGCTATCTGGCATCTACACTATTTTGGCTCTCAGTATCAAATTCCAGAGTTAACTGAGGAGTATTCCATCCAGCCTGTATAGTTTCGTTCTACCTCTTGTATCTAAAGCCTCTCAAATCATAATGTGCACATCCACAGGCTCATTTGTGGTTGAGAAGGCAACACCTAAAAAAGTACCAAGCACTTAGATGCTACATTCTTTTTTCATATATACAAGAACTGGAATCTAGGCCAGAGGTGTGTGTGTGTGTGTGGGAGGGGGTGAGAGGATTCACCAGAGACAGGAGAGGTCTGCTGTGCCCTGTGGGTCAGCTCCCTAGTCGCAGGGATTGAGTTCATGCCTCAGTGGCTGGCAACAACCTGACAGAGCCTAGACTTAACCTGTGCACCATCAGGGAGGCCCTGCGCTACATTCTTTTAAAAGTCCAAGGGAAGGCTCTCCCTGGTGGCGCAGCGGGTTAAAGCACAGCACTGAGAATCTAAAGCCGCTTCCTCATGAGTTCGATTCCCGCCTGCCCCGGAGGTGACCACATGGCGCGGCAGACCTCTCCTGACCCGCCCGCTGCTCCCCTCAGCAGTGCTCTTCGTCCATCTGCCTGTCTGCTCCCCACTCTGTCTCTGGTGAATCCTCTCACCGCTCTTCCACCTCTGCCCTGCACCCCAGTTCTGTGTGCATAATCTTTTTAAAAAATTTAAAAAAGCTCAAGGGGGGTATCTGGCGACCTACTTCTTGCTTAAGTTGTCATTTCTTGCCAGGACCCCTCTGAAGGATCACCATTTTTATATTCTTGGGACCTAGACCCCTCTCCTGCCAGAGTTACATGGTAAAATGTATAAATTGGCTGTGATGTGAATATACTGCAACAACGGTGTGAATTTTTGCCAGTGTGGTGGGAGCATAATTATCCTCATTTAAGACTGATTTTTACATATTTATGCATATAAGAACTGGGGTATAGGTTGGGAGGTATAGGGGGTGAGAGGATTCACTAGAGAGAGAGGGGAACAGATGTATCTACTGAAATCCACTGCTGAGGGGAGCAGCAGGCGAGACAGGAGAGGTCTGCTGCCCCACTAGGGTCAGCTCGCTGGCCAGGGACTGAACTCAGGCCACGCCACCAGGGAGGTCTTCTCACTGTAGTTGTAATTTCACCAGTTCTAATGAGCACTTTTCCTGTTTACTGAGCATTATGAATTCCTATTCTGTGATATAGCTGTTGAAGGTCTTTTTACCTATTTTCCTATTAAGCTGTTGTCTTTTCCTACTACTACAACAGAAGTAGGTTTAAAACAAGAGGCTGCAGTTCAACAAAGAAACACTCTTAGGATTGTTTCAGGAAAGTTTAACTCCCATCCACCTGCCAGTAATAAATGAGCTCCCACTTCTCAGTCTGTCAGGGCTCCCAGGGAACGTGAGGACGCGCATTTACCTCCCATTCTCCTGTGGCTTGCGCCTGCCCAGCTGCTGACCCAACACCAGCATTATCTATACTCATGGCCAGCAGCGATTTGGCTAACTCCTGGACTTCCCTGTTCTCTTCCTTTTTCTGCCGCCGGGGTCTCACGACCTCCTCCTCCTCAATCATCCGGTCTGCTTGAATCAGGTCAGCCTCCTCTGCGATCTCAATCAAGGAATCTTCCTCTTCTCCTTCTTCTTCCTCCTCCTCCCCTTCTGCCTGGGCTAAGAGAGGAAAGCAGGCAGGACATAAGTGAAAAATTTTGAAGCCAAAGGATGGAAGAGAGCACTTACAAGAGCTGAGATACACGAAGACATTCTCAAGTGCTTTAAATGGTTACCCCTGCAGCGGGAAGCTAGGAGGAATGAGACTGAGGGGACAGGACTTATGTTTCCTTATATACTTTTTGTTACATTAAAAAATCATATGAATGTATGTCTTTTAAAGAAAAGCTTTTCTTTTTTTCTTTTTTAAAGAAAGGTTTTTCGCATATCAAAATACACAAAGGTGGGCCTACAAAGAATAATAAAAACATGTAAAATGAATACCCAGGTGCCTTTCACCCAATTTAAGAAGTCCTTCTAGAGTAACTTTTTATTACTTATTCTCTCCTTAAAAAGGACAAACAGGGTGAGGTGGGGAATGGGATCAAAAACAGTGGGGCGGGGTGGGGGGAGGGGAGTGCACTGGACTATGGTGATGGCACACGGGTGATCTGGTGATGGGAAGCCCACGGGGATTACAACTGAGATGGAAAAAGGCGCAAAATTATGTAAAAATAAACTATTATAATACTTAAAAATAAAATGACTACAATTTCAGGAGTACATATGAAATAAATGTTGAGGTTGAAAAGTCAAAAAAAAGAAGGACAAACAACCTTACAACAAGCATAATACACATACATCTCTAAACATGTCTAGTTTTGACATTTTTGAACTTCATAAAAATGGAATCCCTTGTCGTTGTATATATTTACATATTTTCCTATAACTTACCCCTTTTCATTCAACAAGGATTGGAAATTCATATGCTGATATACATCTTGTAATTAACTCCTTTTTACTGTTCTGTTGAACCATATTTCATGGCCTGAACAGACTGTACTTGATCCATACATTGTACAAAAACTGATGGAAATTTGAACTGCTTTTCGGTACCATAAAGGAGTTGTGTTAATTATATCCCCACCAGCAGATATTAGAGTTCTCACTGTTTTAGATGCTGTCAATGTAGGGTTATAGCAAATATCTTAATTTTTGCCAGTATGGTAGAATAAGTGTATCTCACTGTGGTTTTAATTCCACCAGTTTCTAATGAGCACTTTCATATACTTATTGAGCATTATGAATTCCTATTTTTCCATATGCCCGTTGAAATCTCTCATCATTTTCCTATTAAGCTAATGTCTTTCTCTAATTTTAGCTCTTTATATCTTCTGGTCATTACTTTTAACACCTGCTGTTCTAGTCTTTACTATACTCCACCTTAAAATGTGACTTTGAAATAAACACACAGTTCTTACCAGTATTTTCTGCTCTTGTTGGAGCAACACTTTGTGTAAAAGAACTGACACCCATACCCAGCCACTCCAGTACCATGGAATGCTTCTTGTCCTGGAGGTAAAGCCAATCACTGTCCTGAAGAAGGAAAAATTGTCAATCATGAGAATTCTATGACAACCAGTATGAAGGAAAGATCTTCTCAAAGGCTCAAAAATAACTCCCTTAAAATTCAAAGGCTGCAAACTCATACCCTGTGGCAACTGCATCATTTAATGTAACTTGCATAGAATTTTAAACTAATAAATTTCCTGCCTCTTCTGGTGAAATGAGGCGCTATGGAGCAGAGTCTGCATTCCTGAATGGCAACAAATGGCTGACGAGGGCTGTTGCTGTATCTTTCCCAGGTTGCAGTCCTCTCTGCCTCCCAAAAGCCTTCACTCAGTGAACTTCATTTTTAGGACCTGATTGACCCCTTTAGGCTTCTAGATTTGAAAGCTTGGGAATCATCAACCCACTGTTAAGAGACTACCATTTCTACCAGCCAGGCAACTTCACAGAGACTGTGTCAGTTACTACTTCTACTATCCTTTGAAGGTAGGCATAATATCATCATCCCTCTTTGGACTGCTGAAGAACCTGAGGATCACACTGGCCCTTATCATAGTCTGTCTATGTGACCTAGGTCTGCCTTCTTATTTTATTTCATTAACAATCACAACATACTAAGTTCATAAATATTAATTTGGCTATACAAATAGTAACCCTGTAAGAACTAAACTGAGCTGTAATAACTGCTACTTCTGCAAGTGAAATCTACAAATATTGGCAATTTCATATGGTTCAACTTAACAATATGATCCTTCCCTTTATAAAAGAGAAAATAAGCACAAATAGCTGGCTTGCCTAGAATCAGACCAGTAGGCTGGCCCCAACGTCTTGCTGTTGACTAGTCTACCTAGCTGCCTCTCATCATGAAAAGGAACTTTTCATATTACCAATCTGCACCAGATTGCCGAACAGTTATTGTCTGGGGCTACTGCTTTTGCTGGAGGCACGTGGTGAGCACTGAGGCAAGAGAGATGCCTGTGCCGCCCAGAATGGTTCCTACCTGCATGGGTCCATTCATCAGACTTCTCCAGTGCTGAGGGGAGATATACTTCTCGAGGTGCTGCTCCCGGAGCACACCACTCATAGTGCACTCCAAGGTCTGGGCCCCTTTACGCAGGTCTTGCTCTAATGCCTTCATCTCTGTCATGATCTGCCAAGAACAGAGGGAAAGAAGTGATGAGCAAGTATCACACCTCAAATTCAGTCCTTGCCTCCAGATAAGACACAGTTAACACAGGAACAAGGGGGGAAAAATAGACCCCCTCAACAAATCCATTTCCTAAAGCACGTAACTGCAATCTTAAAAAGAATTAGTATCTGAAAGTCTTAGTGAAATAAGCCAGAAAGGGGAAAAAAAAAAAAACTGGATGGTTTCATTCATAGCAGGAGTATAAGGGATACTGGGGGGGAGCGGTGTGTGGGGAAGCAATTGTAATAAAGTAAAAACGAACAACAATGAACAACTATAAGCCAGAGACATTTTACGGGGGTGGAGAGGGGAGTGGGAACAAAACTGGGGTGGGAAGAGCGCACAGGACTATGGTGATGGCACATGGGTGGGTGGGAAGTCCACGGGGATAAAATGTAGTAATAAAATAATAAAATATCTAAAAATCTCCACCAATCAGTAAGAAAAACAAATGACACAACAGAAAAACAGGCCAAGGCTACAGTGGTAGATAATTCTTTTTTCCTTAGAAATAAGAACTTAAGTTTTGGCTAGGCATACTGTTGCTATTTAGAAGATGACATTTCTCTGTTCAGAGGGCCATAATCAGGAGTACAGTGGGAGGTTTGGGGGAAGTGGTCTTGGCAAAGGTGGTGGGGGTGCGAACCCTTTTGTTCTATAAAGGCAAAGGTCCCCACCAGGGACTCAGAGAATGGAATGGCAGGCCCTGGGATGCCTACCTAGAAAGCCACTGTACCTTAGCGCCCCCTGAGCTAGGTGACATGTAGACAGCCAAGCGAGGACTTACATTCATGTAGGCCCTTCGGAGGTGCATGGGAAGGTCACGGTGGAATTCCCGCTTATTTCTCAGTTCTCTCAGGGTGAACTGCCTCAGGATTTCACTGTTGCTCCTTCCACCCACCCGCACAATGCTTGTGTTTTGACACTTGTAGATGCCTGTGGAGCAAAGCAGAACATGCTGAGTTGAAAGGAGCGATCCTAGATTCTCTCAGGTGAGAGCTTTTTGGGATGTTGTCTTAGCTAGTTCTTTGGGGAACAAACTGGTGCTTTCAGGAAATCTACCCCATGAATGAGCAAGGCCCCAGAGAAGATGTGACCCTCAGAGCCTCAAAATGTAATGCCCAGTTTCAAAATCAGACAATTGGAGACTCAAATCTTGGTCCTACCACTTACTGCTGTATAACCTTAGGCAAATTACTTAAGCTTCAGTTTCTTGGTCTATGATTTGGCAATATTAATACTTTTCCTTATAGGGCAACAATCTGGGCAAATGAAAAGTATTTTTACAGTTCCTAGGAAGGGCCTAGCACCAAGTAAGCACTGATAAATGTTCATTTTTTTCATTCTACAGACTTTTTTACTGATTGCTTACTATATGCCAGAATTGTGTTGGGTTCTGAAGCTATGGCAGTAAAAACAACACAGTTCCTAACTTATTCTCAGTCTTGCATTCTGGCAGAAAAAGGACAGTAAATAATTTATATTAACAGTGATAAGCTTAATAGATATTACAAGCAAAGGACAATATAAGTGTATATAATAAGAGACCTTACCTAGTATGAGTGAAACAGGAATATATTTCATGAGGATTTAATAGATAAACCGAGATACCAAGAATAAGGAAAATTTACCTAGGTGTAAGGAGGATATAAAAAATGGAAAATAATATTCTAAGCTGAAGAAAAAAACATATTCATTCAGTGATTATTTTTTGAGGTCCTAGCATGTGCCATTGTCTGTGAATATACGAGAATAGAGGATCAAGCTCACAGTATTTACAGGTAGGCTAGAGACACAGAATACAAAGAAGACTTGGCCCTCCCTGGTGGCCGCAGTACTGCAAGCTGGCTGTAGCTGCTTCACTGTGGGTTCAATCCCCAGCCCTGGAGCTGACCCACATGGCTCAGCAGACCTCTCCTGACCCGCCCACTGCTCCCCTCAGCAGTGTACTTCGTTGATCTGCCTATTCTGCTCCCCACCCTGTCTCTGGTGGATCCTCTCACCGCCCCTGCACCTCTGGCTTGTGCCCCAGTTCTGTATAAATAAATGAGTAAATCTTTTTGGGGAAAAAAAAAAAGAATACAAAGGAGATTTAACCTTGTCTAGAAATAAAAGGGAAAATCCATTTGAAGAGAGATTTAAGGGGAAGCATGGTGAATGAGTTGGAGCCAGAGAGACTGGATGGGGTCAAGAAAGAAAAGAGGGAAGGAGAGAAAGTACATTCTAGGTAGTGGGGAATGCACAGGTTAAGGGAGAAGCTGAGGGAATTAAGGAATTAAATTCCCTCAGTGTGCTAAGACAAGGGACAAGGCAGGAGTCGAGAGTCAGAGTCAGGCAGGAGCAGACCAGACACAGCCTGGCAAGTCATGGGAAGGCCTATGGGCTGTACGCAAAGAGCAACAGAAAGCTGGTAATTGAACTCTAGAGGTCTTTATCAAGGATAATTTTGTCTGCAGACATTACCTTCCAAAAACTGGTCCAAAGCATGATTAGTGTAACACACAACCAAGATGGGGAACCGCTGGTTGTCAATTTGCCAAACAGACTTATTGGTTAAAAGGGCTTGAACAATTTTTAGACCCACGTAGGTTTTGCCTAGAAAATAAAGAAAAAAGAGAGTTAAAAAACTTCAGGGCTTTCTAAAAGTAGTATTACATGTAGAAAATCATTACTTTTAAGAATTCCAAGGTAAAGCACTGAGATGGTTTAAAATCCAAGAAGCACAAATGGGTTTATTATGAACAGCATTTTTGATTTCTGTTTTCCGGTCACGCAGTTCCTCTCATGGAAACAACCAACATCGTAGTTTCCTGTGTAACATTCCAGAGACAGTCATTCTTCATGTACACAATTATGAACATATATTCTTTTCTGAGCTTCCCCCCTTTGTAAAAACAAAGTCAGTAGCAAACTATTTTCACAATTCCACATCTTACTTTTGCCTCAGTGTGTCTCAGAGGTAAGTATCCAACAAATACATAAAATTGAAAAGTCTTGTTTTCATATCTATTAAAGTACTTTTTTGACCAATTCCCTATTACTGGACACACAGGCTGTTTCCAAATCTCCTAATCTTATGTGGCAAATTCTTTCTTTTTTTTTTTTAATTTACTTTCTCATAGAAGAACTGGGGTCTAGGCCAGAGGTATAGAGAGTATGTGGGAAGAAGATTCACCAGAGAATAGAGTGGGGAGCAGAACAGGCGGATCTACTAAAATACACTACTGAGGGGTGTAGGGGGCGAGATAGGAGAGGCCTGCTATGTCATGTGGGTCACTCCCTGGCTGGGGACTGAACTCAGGCAGTAGCACCGAGACTTAACTCCTAGGTCACCAGAGAGGCCCACGTGGCAAATTCTTTAGAAATGCTTTTAATATACCATAGTAGACTTGACTTAGTGATAGAAGGGAAAGACTCAAAGAAATAAACTTGTGAATTAGAATTTGGGGCTCATTAGTACATGGCCTATAATTAATTCTACAAAAAGCAAATTCTTACATTTTTTTCAGGCTGAGAAGGTAGTTACTGCCCTCAAAAAAAAAACCTCAAGGTTGAGTGAGGAATTAAAAATTTCAGTAACACATAGTAAGTAACACTTTTTCCATCCTTTTTTTCCTTCAAATAGTATCTACTGGTGCCCTGGTGAGTTCAAGAAATACAACATTGAGCAAAACAGTCATATTTTCTTGGATCTTATTCATCTTACATATGTATAGGAGAGAAAGATAATCACACAGACAAATGTAAAACTGTAAAAGTGGTAAAGCAAAATATAGGGTACTAAGAAAACAACAACAAAAAAGTGGGATTCTGGCCTAGTCAATGAGGTAAGAGGAGGCTTCCCTGGGGAAGTGACAACTGAATAAGAGTGGGCAGGAAAGAATAGGGATGGGCTGGTCAGGAAGTCCCTGTCATCTCCCAGGTGAGCGAAGACTGAGGCCTGCCTCCAGCAGTGGAGATGAGGTGAGCAGGCTGATGGGGAAGACATTTCAGAGGCAAAAGTAATGGCAACTTTGTGATGGCTTGGCTGGGGTCGGGAGCAGAAAACACTAACTCCTAGGTATCCAGTTTGGAGGACTAGATGGACAAAGGTAGCTGAAAGTACCTGCAGAGGAAAGAGATCTTAGCAATTTAGTAGTTAGTCTATCTTCCCCTGCTGTTTCCTTCCCCTTTCAATCTATACTTTTGGGATTTCCACCTAAAAAAATGACTCTTTGTTTTTTCCCCTCACACACTCAGGTAGGCCCCGTCCTAGTAGCTGTGGAGAGCGGCTGGCTTAAGTTGGCTTGAAATTAAACTAATTCAGTAACATTGGAGGAAATGATATGCAACAAGCATATTTTGAACATACAGCTTTAATAAATCAGTAAGAAAAAGAAGCCATTTGGCTTCTTTACTAAAAGGTAATTACACAAGTAATTACAAAAAGGTAATTCACACAAGTAGTAATACAAATAGCTAATAAACACCAAAAAAGGATATCTTAATCTCATCCTTAAAGAAATAGAAATTAATCAGTGGGATATATACTTCCAGTGGGCAGCTTAGCAATACCTATGAAAATTACAAAATAACATTGTCTATGCACCAGTTAGGGATTTCTCTTTTTGGATATTTCTGTATGCAAAATGACTCACAAATAAGGTTATTCATGGAAAGATTATCTGTACTAGTAAATTTTTCCACAGGGAACTAGTTAAAGAAATTATGAACTGGGCCTTCCTGGTGGCACAGGGGTTAGTCTCATCGCTATCAAGCTGTCCCCAGCCCCTGCAGCACGGGTTCCATCCCCGGCCAGGGAGCTGACCTGCAAGGCACAGCAGACCTCTGTCTCACTTACTGCTCCCCTCAGCAGTGCATTTCAGTCAATGTGCCTGTTGTGTGCCCCAATGTCTCTGGTGAATCCTCTCACACCCACACCTCTGGTCTCGACCCCAGTTCTTATATGCATAAATAAAATAAATAATAAAAAAAGGAATGATTAACTATTCATATGATGGTATATTAAAAGAGTAAGACACAGTTATGTACCAATATGAATCAAAAGCAATGTGCAGAAGAGCATCTTTTTATAGTGGGTTAAACAATGGGGGGAAAGATAAATATATAAGTATACATTTGCTTGAATATTTATAGAGTATCTGTGGAAGGATACACAGTAAGATAATTGTTCATTTTTAGGAAGGAAGCTGTTAGGATGGTGACAGAAGGAATATAGTGACTTTTTAAAAGTCTTGAACTATACTTCACTAAAAATTAAATTAAGGGCCCTCCGTGGTGGCACAGCAGGTTAAAGTGCAGCACTGGGCAGCCAATCAGTGAAACAGACAAGCTTGGAAACAGAGGATGGACACACAAATGGGTGTTCCGGCAGCGCATGGAGGTGTCTACTAAAGAGGGAGTCTGGCCCTTTGCTCTAAACCTCTGTTCTTCAGACAAAGACACTGTCAATTAGAAAACCACGATGCAGTTCCACCATATCCTGAAGACTACTGGATAGTTTTCTGTATTCTTTACTTTCCGCCCCTGCCCCACCCCTTCCTTTATTTTACACAAAGTAGCTGGGGTCCCATTCACTAAGTGGCAGTCAATGTCAAGACTGGATGGGGAAGCAGGAGCAAGAGCAGTTCAGTGAGAGGACCTCCTCTATTAATGGTATGCTCACTCTGCTTTCATCGTTATAGTCTAATAAGTTATTTTGCTTTCACTGTTCACCAAATCCACAAACAAACATAACCAAACTCCCCCCCCCCCAATTCTTATATACCTTGTTGAACGGGAGAATTTTATTATTTTTTTAAAAAAGATTTATTTATTTAAGGCCTTCCCTGGTGGCCCAGTGGGTTAAAGTGCAGCACTAAAAAGCTATCTGCAGCCACTGCAGCAGCAGGAGTTCGATCCTCACCCAGGGAGCTGACCCACATGGCGTGGCAGACCTTTCCTGTCCCGCCCGCTGCGCCCCTCAGCAGTGTATTTCAGTAGCTCTGCCTGTTGTATTACCCGCTCTGTCTCTGGTGATCCTCTTACACCACCCCCCCACCTCTGGCCTGCACTCCCAGTTTCTGTATGCAGAAATGAATCTTTTAAAAAAAGAGTTATGTCTGAGCCCTCCCTGGTGGCTCAGCGGGTTAAAGCACTGCACTGAGAAGCTTAAGCCACTTCGGCATGAGTTCGATCCCGCCTGCCCCGGAGATCCACATGGCGGGGCAGACCTCTCCTGGCCCGCCCGCTGTGCCTCTCAGCAGTGTACTTGGTCAATCTGCCTGTTCTCCTCCCCCTTCTGTCCCTGGTGAATGCTCTCACCCTCTGCATCTCTGGCCTGTACCCCAGTTCTGTATGAATAAATAAGTCTAAAAAAAAAGTTATGCCTTCCTTTTTTAGTAATTTTGGTCTGTTATTATGGACCTAATAGATCCCCACTGGGAAACCACTACAAGTAGCTACCTGACATCTGATGTCCATTTCAGGGGAATGTTTCTAAACAAGACATTCTGGAAACCTAGAGTCAAGTGTCCCTTACCTATTATCTCATAAGACAGATGCCATGAGCTTTGAAAAATTCTGTCTTACCTGTTCCAGGAGGTCCTTGAATAATAGCCAATTCCCTGGTGAGAGCAAACTGTAAGGCTTGCATCTGTGAATCATCTAGCTCCAGGACTTCTTTTGAGGGCCACTGGCTGGGGTCTAAGACATTAACTCTGGAATATCTCAAGCCATTAGCATCCCTTAGAGATTCCCCAGTGGCTGAGGGATTCTTTATTAGTGAAGTAAAATCATACCTGCCCTCCCTTATCAAATATATAGGCTCTTTCACATAAGAGTCACATTCCACAATGTTCCTCTGGAAGGGGACATCTTCCTCCTTGATCTCCTGGAGTCCTTCCAAGACATGCCTATAGGCCTCAAAGTATGCAGTTGTTTCTACCATAAGGAAAGAGTCAGAAGGCTGGACATCTGCTAGCAGCTCATTGAAGCAGAGCTGGACAAATCCTTTGCAGAGATCTTCCTGCTCTCGGTTAGACACAGTGGCAAAAAGAAACGTCTCAAAGTTGTCTTTGGACATGCACACTAAAGACCCATAGAGTAATCGCTTGGAATTCTGCCAGCGAACATACTTCAGTGGTTTTGGGTCAAACTGTACCTTGTAGACAATGCCTGATGACGAGCATACTGGAGTGATAATTCTGGTATCAAAGTAGATTCTGATGTCATCAAATTTTCTCTTTCTCAGGCCTTGGTCTTCAAAGCTTTGGAGAAGTTCCAAAATGCCTTCTCTTAGGGGTCTGACAAAATCTTCTCTCAGAAGTCGAAAGTGAGTGTCCAAATAGATAGCAGTGCTATCATACTTTCCGGAAGTGATGTTGGGACGAAGGAATGGTCTCTCATTCAAATGCACTTCATTGTAGGTAGGGTAAATGGGCATGGTCCGGTACGCAACATCGTCTTCCGCCTCAGGCTGCACTAGAGTGTAGGTGTCTGCTCTTAAAGTGCCCTCTCGCTTCTTTTTCTGCAGGTGCTTAATGATGGTCTGTACTTTTTCCAGGTTCTTCTCCGTCTCCTCTTCTATGTCAACACCAGAGGCTCTCAAAGCATTAAGAGAAGCTGGCAGGAGGGAAATGAGCATGGACGTTTCCTGCACAGAGCTGGCAGGGAAGACACTTATGAGATCCTGAAGAAGGGAGATGATGTTGCTGATATGTTCTGGATACTGATTTCGAATGTCATAGATAGGTTCTGTGGTCATCCCTACCACGTACGTTGGCAGGCAGACTTTGAGAAACTGGGAGTTTTTCAATATGCCCAGAACGTGGAGAACACTCTGGCGGTCCATTTTGGAACTGCACGCCTTCCGAAGAACCTGACAGATGAGCTCAATGAAGTTGGATTTCATGTAAGAATGAGACAGGAGTTCCTGCAGCCCTGAACTTGTGGCCAGTGTGATGGCCACCTCAGAAGCATCTTTCTGCAAAAGACTTTCTAAGAACTTGTAGCCCAGTTTCTTCACCTGCTGTGGCTGTTCTGCAGGCTTCTGGTGGGGGACACGCCACTGCTGGAAGTTTTCATCAGACCATGGCGGTCTGCGGTTCCTGCCCTCCTGGTTTCCATTTCTCCTCCTGGTGTCGTTCTCCTGACCACGCCTTTGGCCTCTAGGTTCATCATTAGCCTGCCCCTCATGGTTCCGCCTTCCCTGATGTGGGTTCCTGCCCATGGCTGCAAACCTCTCTTCCCTTTGTCGGCAAAGATTCGGGTGGTTGTTGGCCCTAGGGTGCCTTCCAGGCTGGTTGGCTGCTCTGAAAGCATTGCTTGGTGGGTTACTATCCTGATTTCCAGCTCTTCCTGGTAATTCTCCATCCAGTGGTCCTAATTACAATGGGATAGAGGGTAAACACAAAAACAATAGTGAAAGAAATCACAAAGAACCACCACGAACATGTTCCTCGTTTTCCAAAACAATTAAGAAAGTTAGGTTTTATTTGGAGAGAAAAAAGTGTTTCTATAATAAATGGTTTACATAATAAATGTAAAAAAGATTCCTCTGGTTGCCATATATATTATGAAAATACAGATTTTTCAGAAGGTGCAAAAGGGAAAAAGGAATAAACATTTGAGTGGCTAAGATGTGCTAGAGAATACACAGTACCTCATTTAATCCTCACAAGTTAGGTTGTTTCAGAGGATCATAAAGATTGGTTCATTGCTTCTAGTCTCTTGCCAGTAGTGACCCTGTTCAAATACTGGCTTGGGCATTTCTTCACTGTGTAACCCTAGCCAAGCGGAATAATTTCTCTAAACCTCAATATCTGGATTATTGTAAAGATCAAATATTTATGAGCGGACACATAAAACTTTCAGTAAATGTTAATTATTACTAGCACTGCCACTAAACAACTATGTCACAGATGACAAAGGCACTAAATGGGATATAGCCATAAAAGGCTTTCTCTTCTTGACTTTTGCTCTGCCGGCATCAGCAAACGCAGTTCAGGGGGCAATCCGAAAGTCAGAGCTAATTAATAGATTAGGAAACTGAAAAACGAAACTCAGTATTCCTCCTTTTTGTAGCGCTAAGTTCACCCACACAGTACTTATCAATTATTAACTCAAAGAAAAGAAGGTGTTGGGGTGGAGAGAAGACACATCCAGTACATACAAAAGAACTAACACAACCCTGTGGCCGAAGCGGGACTTATCTTCCTGAACCTGTCACAGAATGCATAAATGACCTCGGCCAACATGCCCAGGCCTGGTTCTTCTCACTTTCTAAAAGTGAGTATGAGGCTGACTAACAGACTTGGAGATTTTTTTTTTAAAAAGCAGAATAAGAATGCATAGTGATTTGAAAGTGAAAAAAAGTTATAAAAGTCTGAAAGTGCTAAATGCACAAATTTAAAGATTATCATGCCATTTCATGTAATGAAAATGACTATGTACATTCCACTTGTTTTGCACAAGAGAAAATTTTAATGTGAAAACGTAAGGGAATATTTGATAAATAAATGTAAATACTGTACTGTTAAACTCTAAATGTTTACAGTTTACTTTCAAACTTCCAAGATAGTATCAGTCTACTGATAACATTCTGATCTGATTAGAACAGATTGGGTTATCAACCTGTTTTTTAGCTCTTGGTGCTAAGTGCTATTTTAGAAAAATGGAAAACTATGAATTCACACAATTCATAAAATAATATTCTACAGTTTTCTCATACGTTATACAGATAAAACGTGGGCGACGTGTTATAAACTTAGGGAGAAGAAAGACTCCACTTGGTTGTTTTGTTTTAGAAAGTTCTGAGCAAACAAAACCATCACTGCAACACAATGACGGTTCTGGAACTAATTTTGCTTCAGCACTAGGACTCTAGAAACACTATCTAATACGTGGCCACTCACTATATGTGGCTATCAACCATCTTAAAAGTGGCCAGTCTGAGTTAAGATGTGTAAACTAACAAATGAATATTGAAGACTTACCATCAAAAAAAGATGAAATAGCTCATTAAAATATTGATAACATAATATTTAAGGACTTGTTGGGAAATAAAAGTGTTAAAATGATTAAAACAATGATAAAAATATTCAATTTTTAAAAATAAAATTATATGATTTGGATACATTAACTTCCGTAAGCTGAGCATTAAATTATTAAACTTTATTAATTAATGGGTTTCACCTGTTCTCTTTCTCCCTTTTTTAAATGATGTTACTAGAAAATTAAAAAATATATTTTTGGCTTGCCTTATGAAGCCAGTACAGGTGCTGCTTTAACCAGAGAGTTATTTCCATTTCTGACATTTGTCTTTCTTTCCTAAAGTGAACTACATCCATTCTTCAGTCCTGTAAGGGAAAGGAGAGGGCTGTCTGCTGTACAGAACCATCCAGGCCATGGAAAGCTATGCTTACCTCTGTGGTTGGGGTGGGGATTTCTGGGCCTGACTTCTGGACAAGGTCTTCTATCCTCCATGTCAGAGTCACTTGAATTCCTCCACGTTTAAGTTACTGCAGTTATCTGGAAATGTGCACAGTTTGAGAGTTATTGATGCCCTTGAAATATATAATCTAGGGGGGAAAAAAACCCAAATTGCATCAAGCTGATCCTTCTGCTCTATATCTTAATGAGTGCTGAGTTAAAATGTAGACTTTAATCGTCATCACAATGTCCAACTTTGTGAATATACATTATATTCATAATTTAGGTAATTTCAAGGGATCAAATTCCTCCTTTCCTTTACCTTTGCACTTCCTAGGGGGTAGAGGGAATATCATCAATTCCCATTCAAAATTATTGTTTGGCTTATTATGTCTTTAGTCAAGTTAAACAGTTGCTAGGTTTTATTTTCCTTTCCTATAAAACAAACAAATACTGTTGCCAATACAGAAAGTTCATTTTGTTAATCCTCAAATCATGTATTTACCACCCCACCTGGCATTTACATTACATGGTACCCTATAGCATAGAGTACTCTATACCTTACAGTACTCTAGAGCTGGTAAATAATTAGTGAGTAGTCATTCCTCTCCTCCTCCTTGGAACACAGCCAAGCTGATTATGTCCTTCCCCCTACTGAATCCAGAGAAATAAATTACATGGTTCAATAAACAGCAGGTTTAGTATCTACAGAATATTGTTTCCTCGGGACTAGCTAGAAATCAGCAGTTCCTTCCTCTTTCTTCTACTTGATGATTTTCAACAGCAGTCCTTTAAGAAGAAATAGCCCTTTGAAGAGAACTTCTCAATCCATCCAATACAGATCATGTGGGCTAGAAAAAGGATGGGGGACTCAGTCCTCAGCAATGGGATTTTTGAGACTACCCCTTTCATGAGTTTTAACATATTCACAGTTGGAAACTGTGACTAGATCTGGTATTACATGAGTAGCTTTTATCCTCATTAAAAAAGGAGTCCTTTCCTGCTGGTGTTTTATCAAATCTCACTCTCACGGTGCAGATTCAATATTTAGAGCTTTTTTTTTTT